AAATTAGACGGAATAAATAATTAACATAATAAGGTAATAATCATAATACTCTATACCAAACAGCAAACCATGAGCTATTGTCTAGCCGGGCTGGCTTTCAGGTGCTCACTTACCGATATTACGACAATGTCCGGCACCTATTAGACATGAATGGTATGCTCACTGACATACGCCAAGCAGCACCTGGATCAGTCATATTATTTCATACTTGTGCTCACAACCCAACCGGTATGGATCCGACCCGAGATCAGTGGTCACAAATTGCCGACATAATGGTTGAGCGCCGACTGTTTCCCTTTTTTGACTGCGCCTACCAGGGCTTCGCATCGGGCGATCCCGATAGAGATACCTATAGTGTACGTCTGTTTGTGGACCGGGGGTTAGAGTTGGTGTGCGCTCAATCGTTTTCTAAAAATTTTGGCCTTTATGGTACTAGTTCATTTTAATATCTCATTGTATTCACATTTATTATAAGTTGTGACTATATTTATTTTGCGCAAAAATCATCTAGGCGAACGCGTTGGTAACCTAACCATAGTGCTAAATAATCCCAAACCTATTAAAAATATATGCTCACAAATGTTGATGATTGTACGTGGTAATTATAGCGGTCCGCCCGCACACGGGGCTAGGATTGTGACCAAGATACTAAACGACCCACAACTATATGAAGAGTGGTGAGTAGTTTTAATTAGGCGTTATGTTAATTATTTATTCCGTCTAATTTAATTCAAATTGTAAAACATTGTAATGAGCAAAAAGTTGCTTTTTTGTATTGATTACATTAGCATTTTTATTAAAATATTTATATAGGAAGTGTTGCGTACAAATAATGGCAACACGAATGCGGCAAATGCGGTCCCAATTGCGGGAACACTTGGAACGGTTGGGAACACCGGGCGAGTGGTCGCACATTACCCGACAGATCGGTATGTTTTCCTATACGGGACTAACGGACAGACAGGTCACACATTTGTCGGACTCGTATCACATTTATATGCTCTCAAATGGCCGGTTGTCGATGTGTGGACTGACCACTAAAAATGTTGAATACGTGGCCAAAGCTATTAGAGATGCAGTGATTAAGTTTTCGTAAATTATTTGTGTATTTATTATAAATAGATTGTTGTCATAGAAAAGTAATTAATAATTAACTATAGGACTATAGGACTATATGATAATTACAATTTTAAGTGTATTTAATTAATAATTATACAAAATTTAATAAAATATTATTAAAATAAATTAACTGTAACTTGTAAGTAGATCAATATAAGAAATAATTGACATTGCTTAATTATGTTTTTATATTGTATTTTATAAACCAATTTGAAATGAAATAGGTCAATGTAATATCTAATACAAATAATGTAATTTCAAAAATGATAATAATTTTTAATGTAATTGTGTTTTGTGCTGGATGATTTATATTCTAATAATTGTGAAAATTATATTAAAGTATAAATAAAATTATAATGTAGTAAATGATGACAACTATAGATGGAGAGTATTTTGATGATAACTATAATTAACTTCTACTTTATATTGTATTTATAGTTAACAATATCGCTGTTTAGTATACGGTATTCGCTGACAATATCATTAAATAAGCAGAAAATGAATGAAATATTTATTTAAATATAATCCATTATATTCTTATATATAATACAACTTATAACGTATTTTGTTAATTAATTATTTAATTGCTTCATTTATATTTTAATACTATTACAAAATTTTCGGGTAAGTAAAGTTTTAGAATTTAATTGTTATATTTATTAAAGGTTATTCTAAACTATATAATTAATTCATACATGTATGAAACTTAGCAATTAAGTTGTGACAACTTGTTTTGATTTCATTGGCCAAACTTTTAATAGAGAAAATATAGATATAAATGTTTAAATGACAACTAATATTAAACATTCACATTTTTCAAAATAATATTTTGTTTAAATAAATTCTTTTTGTATAGATATGATTAATGACAAACTCCATATACTAATCATTAGTTAAACATAATTTACATGTATTCAGAATGTATAATGTAAATGGTATGATAAATATTGTGTAACATTTTGTAAACCACTGTTAAGAGGCCTCTCATAGACCCAATGTATTGGACATCAATACAAAGTACTGTTATGTAATGTGAAACCAAAGTTAACACCACTTTCAATGTGAAGCCAGTCTAACACACAATGTATACATTCTGAACATTCTTTCTCCACTCTTCCTCTCATTCACTTCAAATGCTTTTATACTTAAACATGAGATTAAGATGTTATCAAGTGATAAGTAAAATTCATTATAATTTATGCATTTTACAATACAAACCATAATACATGTATGTTGTGTAAATAACTTGTAATAACATATAGTGTTAGATGTGAAGTTATTTCTCAATTTCTCAATATTTCCTATCATTTGTTCATTATATGCAATATTAATGTGTAAACGTGTGGTATATTTAAATTTCAATTACGACATGTGAGCAAAACATTAATTACTTTTAATTTAATTACAAATAATTTTTTAAAACTTTAATTTAACATAGAATTGTCAACTGTCACTACGTGTCCAGAGTTGGCAGTACAGCGGCAGTACCGACGGCGCCACCGGATGTCCACGCGGTCCAAGAGTTTAGCCAATTGTGCGCCGATATTAAGGCCCAACTCGAGACGTGCGGTGCGATTGACACCAAAAAGCGGAAAATTGTTGAAAAACTCTTGGAGTGCGAGAATGTTGTCAACACAAATGCTAACCGATTGGACGAACAGAAACGGGATTTATTGCTGTTATCGATAAGTTGAGACACAAACTTATCATCAGCTAAATTGGTTTACATGTTTGGTGTTTAGTATTTATCAAGTTTGATGAGTTTAGATATAAATGTTATGTATTTATGTGTTTTTCTATGTCTTCATTACAGATCCCAAACTAATCTGAATTTTATGCCTTATTTTTTGGATTCGCAAACATTATTGCAGTTATTTTTAATAAACAAATTGTTTTTTATTTGTAATTCTATTTCATTTAACTTAATTATAATTACTAAGATGCTAAATAATTGCCAGTCAATGATTGAAATGATGGTTAAATTTATATACAAAATTTAATTACAAATATAATTTACATTATTGCAATTTATTAATAAACGATAATTGTATTTGATAAATATATAAGGCTTTGTTCACATATTACGTTCGCACTTGGGGGGAGGGGGGGGATCGGCCAATGCGAACTTTTGCGAACGAGGGGGAGAGGAGGGGTAGAGCGCTGGAGAACGTTTGCATTTAAACAATTTAAAGAGTTTAAGGGATTAATTTTGATTAAAGTTAATCTTTTGAT